TAATGATCTGAACTGATGTAGTGACAATGCAATGGAGCTAAGCAAAAGGAATACAGAGATATCAAGAAGGTAGAGCCATCAGTACTTGTGGATTGTACGTAAGGGTGAGAGAGGATTCACAGACTTGATTAATGGAACAATTGTAGTATATCCACAACATGAAGACCAAGGACATCTCAAGTTTTGACTTGGATATTTTTTCCATACCCCACTCTAAGAAACGGGATGAGAAGCATATTGAGGAAGGATGGGTAATAAAAGATACAGACTTTGGCTTTTAGTCCTTTGTGGTATGAAGTTTCTGTAGAGCTACCAAGTGATGACATCCTGGGGAAATAGATCTGGGGCTCAGGAGAGAAATCATGAGATAGCTTGAACCTTAAATATCTTAGCTACCCAAGATAAATCCTTGGATCCAGATTAATTAGAGTTCTTAAATTGTCCTACAATGGATTTATTTCAAGATTTTGTCAGTCATATTCTATTGGTACTCAAACCTTTATACCTTTTATTGCCACAATTTTCATAATTTCCCCTGTATGTACTTCAGCCTACATCAGTTGAGTGCCCAAGGCACCACATAGTTAAAAATTGTGCTAAGATCTTCTAGACAACCATATACTGCCCATTCTTGGTCTTTAACTTTAATCCTAAGTATGATCTTTGCCAAAGCTATTCATCTCCTTGTCCACCAACATGTGTGTTTCTAATGGAAGGACGGTAATAGTAGTGATACCATGCTCTTCCTTAGTAAAAGGTTTAGGAAGCAGTGATGTGTTTACCAGTCCAACACTTTGCTTTTTCAGCCACTGAATACTGATTTGAAAATGTTCAGACTCCCTGGAGTTGCTGTACTGCTTTAACATTAGTTTCTAATACCCATAAAAACCTATATCTGCACTGTGGGAGGATCAAATGGGGGGAGCACATAAGGCCAGGAGTTCAAGATGAGCCTGGGCAACATCAACAAAACCCTATCTCTACAAAAAGTAAATTAGCCAGGAGTGATGGCATGCACTTATACTCCTAGCTACTCAGCAGACTGGGAGGCAGGATGATCATTTGAATTTAGGAGTCTGAGGTTGCAGTGAGATATAATAACACCACTGTACACAGGATAAGAGTCTGGGTGATACAGGGAGAACCTATTTCTTAAAAAACAAACAAACAAAACAAAAACCTACCTCTAGCTATCATCCTTCCTCGATATGCTTCTCATCAAATATGCTACTATCTATCAAAGTAGTCAATACAGTAACTAAGAACACCAACTGATCGTGTTTCTACCTATCAAAAAAATTTTTCACTGGGCATTAGGCCTTTGATTCACCTGCCCATAGAATAAAAAAAATTAATACCCAGATTTCGTTTTGGATATAGGTCTAGATATACTTATATCCAATAGCCATGTCTCCCTACTGATAAGAGGTTTATAATAAAGAGGACAAATAAAACCTTAAGGCAAATGACTTAGCCATAGTGAAATGACATCCATCCCAGGTGGCCCCAATAGAAAAATTCCCAATTTCAAAAAAATTCCTCTTGAGTACTGTAGACCACAACGATAACTCAAAACTCTAATAATAAAACTCTTTATTATTATCTACTTTTATTTGGCATTATAACATATTAATTATATAACATTTCTTTCATTTAGACTTATTTCTCAATCGAGACTACAAACTTATCAAGGAAGGGGATTAAATGAAACTTATCAAAGAAAGGCATAAAATGAAACTTATAAAAGAAGGGATTAAATAAAATTTGGGGTTTTTTTCCTATTAAAAAAATGGGAGATATTTTTACTGCATAGTGAGTCAGCAAGGCATTTTTGTTAATTAAAAGAAAATTTCCTTTCCTTACAGAAACAGTTTTTAGTTTTTAATGAACTTGTAAACAAAAAAGGTCCCATTTCAAAATAAAAACAAATCCCTCATCATATAGATGTTTACAGTAATTACATTTATCTAAGTATATGTACATGTTCAGTTGTAAGATGTTAACTAAATTTCTGTAACAAATACGCTTTTTGTTCACTCTGGGAGGCTGAGGCTGGTGGATTGCCTGAGCTCACTGGTGGAGAACAGCCTGAGCAAGAGTGAGACTCCATCTCTAAACATAGCCGGGTGTTGTGGCAGGTGCCTGCAGTCCCAGCTACTCAGGTGACTGAGGCAAGAGAATCAGTTAAACCCAAGAGTTTGAGGTTCCTGTGAGCTATGACGCCACAGCATTCTACCCAGGGCGACAAAGTAAGACTATGTCTTAAAAATAAATAAATTGATTAAATTAAATTAAAAAGTAAAAAATAAAAAACCCCATTGAGAATCCACAACACAATAAAATTCAAACTTCTAAAAAAATATGCCTTTTTTGGTTTTTTTGTTTGTTTGTTTTTTTAATACCAAGAACATTGTAAGCTGGATGCGGTGGTTCACTCCTATAATCCCAGCACTTGGGAGACTGGGGCAGGTGGATTGCCTGAGCTCATGAGTTCAAAACCAACCTGAGCAAGAGCCAGACCCCGTTTCCAAAAAATAGCCAGGTGCTGTGGCAGGCGCATGCAGTCCCAGCTACCTGGGAGGCTGAGGCAAGAGAATGGCTTGAATCTAAGAGTTTGAGGTTGTTGTGAGCTATGATGTCACGGCACTCTACCCAGGGCAATGAAGTGAGACTCTTGTCTCAAAAAAA